ATCATGTAGCTGGGGGCGGAGCTACAGGCTCTAGGTGTTTATCATTTACCTGGGGGCGGGGCTACAGGCTCTAGGTGTTTATCATTTACCTGGGGGCGGAGCTACAGGCTCTAGGTGTTTATCATTTACCTGGGGGCGGGGCTACAGGCTCTAGGGGACTCTGTGAGCAATTTTTTTGTCTAGCCTGGTGCTGGTTAGGCTATTGTCTACATTGTGGGAATCTGTCTTCGGCTCCACCTCCCAGTTAGCGAACACACAATGCATGTAGTACTCAGACAGTACCATTTAAATGACATACACATGACAACACATAGTTGTACAAAATAAACATTAGGAAAAAATGTCATTAGATAAAATGTATATCCATCCATGCCATAAGAGCTAGGGAACCTACTTGAAGGAGGGTGGGAGGGGTCACTTATAACCCTATTTTTTAAGTTTAATTCATATCTTTCACTGGTTGCATCTGTAATTTATTATTTGTTATTTTACTAGTCGTATTTACTATTGTCTGCAATTTCAGTCTATCCCTCATAGGGGTGGCACACATACAGTATTTAAGCAAATACTTTATTTCTTAGGAGTGGAATAGAGTGACTAAAAGTCACAGCTTCTCCATTAGTAAGCTTCGATTACTGATCACAGAAGAGAACGAAACGGGGACATCCTCCCATGTCGTAGTACCTGACTGGGAGCTCAACCACTCATTCATAAATTCCATTTTTATGGATTTACAGTGCTGATTTCTGCACCCAGTTTACATCACTTTTACCTGTCTTAGATGGAGGCGGGATCAGGAGGTAGTTGAATTCGTGAACATTACACAGCAGGGGGCGGCACCTACGTATTAGGAAGAAGGACAAAAGAGACTTGTTTTTATTGTTAAAAAGGTTCAATTGTAATCATATTAAAATGCTTCAAAAAACTAAAAAATGTGTTCATTTCCTATATACAATAATTTATCATGCTTGCTGACCCTGAATTAAACTTTGTGGCTGGATGGGTGCCACATGCATGCCTTCTGTTGATGAGGCGACAATGTTGTTTTGTCGTCGTACTGTGCTTGCAAACATAAACATTGCATATGTGCTCTTGCTTGTCTGTTTGTGAGAGCTATGCAGTGCTCTGTGATGGCACAGACAGATGATTTGGCCCAGGGAGAACAGATTCCGGGTTAGTCTGTTAGAGACAGAGAGGGGAACAGGAGTGGCGACAAAGAGGCATGAGCTCTTTAGCCCCTTTCCTGTGGGGAATCTCAGGCAAGCCCTCTGTCCTTGTGAATTCACACCAGGCAGGAACACATTTTTACAATTACCCATTTTTCAGCACTTTTTTTAATCAGGTTAGGAGCTGTGACTATGGAGCAGCAATGTTTCTGAAATCTTTGACAGCCATGCCTTCTTCCCAGGGAATAGGGAAGAATTTCCTTCAGTTGAATAATCACATTTGTTATTCCTGCAGCATAGCACAGGTGAATCAATATCAAATCAAATGAATATATCTCACCTCTACAGCCAAAAGAATGGAAAGTAAGACTAGGCGCTCTAGTGCCATCAGTCATCTGAAAAATCCAAAGTTGCTCGGTAGCCAACAAACCATGTGGGAATATGAATGAGTAATGTTCCCGCGTTCCTTAGCAGCTATTTTGCTCAGTGCCCTTGAGCAAGTCACTTAACCTTCTTCTGCTCCAGTGGCACCACAACAGACATGAGCAGCAGTAGATGCTGGCTATTTTTCAAAAGATAAAGTAGTGGGAATATGACTAATTAAAAACGAGCAGGTGTAGCAAATCTAACTAATGTAACTAGGCTTCTAAATAAGGAACAAAACACCTGTCCTGATTATTTATCAAGGATTTAAGACTCAAAGTCAGTTACTCTGCCTCATTAGGAGTGTGTGGGTGGAGGTTGATGAGACGTCA